ATTCTTCTGTAACTACATTGTTCACAATAAGCTTAGCTTTTGTTCCGAATAAATTGCACTTATACCATTTTCGAAACTTTGGCCTACCCCCATCCCCTGCAAATTTTTCTTCATAAAGCTCCAAGAAATGTTATCAAACGCTTTCTCTGCATCTACAAATATTAAAACAGCTTTAGTATTGATATTAACTTGCAATTTTTCCAAAATATTAATGATGTTCCTAGTATTGTCTGACAAATGTCTCCCAGGGAGAAAGCCCGCCTGGTCTTTATGAATCTCTTTTACCAATACATTTTTTAATCTTTTAGCCATAATTTCGGCAAAAATTTTGTAATCCACATTTAGTAGGGATATGGGACGGTAGTTCTTCAACTGTGTCTTCTCCCCTTCGGTTTTTGGTATAAGTGTAATGTATGCTTCTTTCCACGACTCGGGTGCTTTTCCTCCCGTAGTATTTCATTACAAAGTTCTTTCAACGGTTGCAGTAACCATTCTTTCAAAGTTTTGTAGTACTTTGCAGTTAGTCCATCCGGCCCTGGAGATTTGCCCAATTTCATATTCTGAATGGCTCCTTCCACTTCTTGGTCAGATATTGTAGAGTTTAATATTGATTTACTGTCTTGAGATATTTTTTGTAATCCATTATTTTCCAGAAATCGGTCAATGTCTAGTTCTTTCTGAGTCTCCTGCGTATATAACTGTTTAAAATAATTCTGAAAGCACTTCCGAATCTCTCCAGGATTCTGTATATTCTTCCCTTCTACAACCAAGTTCGTAATCGTATTCAGCTTTTGTCTTTTTTCATTTGCCAGGCCAGTAACTTCCCACATTTATTTGCCGATTCAAAAGTCTTTTGTTTCATCTGTTTGATCTTCCATTCTATCTCCTGGTTCATCAATTTCATATATTGTACTTGGTATAGCTTTATCTCTTTTAAAATCTCCTGTGAGTTCGGTTTCGCTCTCAGTCTTTTTTCTCCATCCTTAATTTTCTCCAAAATTTTTTCTCTCTTCTCATTTTGATATCTTTTCCTAATTGCATTTTGTTGTATCAAAAATCCTCTCATCACCGCTTTACTGGCATCCCAAATCACTCTTTTCTGTCATAGTATTCAAATTTATTTCAAAATAGTCTCTCAAATTCTTCTGAGCCTTTTTAATAATTTCCTCATTCCTAAATAAGGAGTCATTCATCCTCCATCTAAAGGCCCCAATTGGCGTTGATATCATTTCAATCTTTACTGGATTGTGATCAGAGCAAATTTTCGGGCAAATCACCGCTTTTTTAATTTTAGGAGCCAGTCCTCTAGTTGTCCAGATTTGGTCTATTCTTGTCCATGTCATATTTGCTTCAGAGAAGAAGGTTCCTTCTCTTTCCAAGGGGTTCTTTATTCGCCAAATATCCACAAGATCCATATTGTCAGTCATTTCAAAAAATGTCCTTGGCAGTCTTCCATCTTTTGTCACTGTTTGTCTTTGGGCTTTGTCCATATTTGTAGACACTACTCCATTCATGTCTCCCATCAAAATAATGTTGTAATCCAGATAGTCCAGGAGAGTTTCATGCAGTTTCTTGAAGAATTCTGATTTTCCCTCATTTGGTGCGTATACGCCTATTATCAAAAATTTCTGTCCTTGGAATTGAATTTCAATTGCTATATATCTTCCTTGGTCATCTTTAAATATAAATTTTGGTGACAGGCTTTCCTTCGCATAAAGTACTACCCCTCTTTTTTTACATTATCCGATGAGATAAATTCCTCTCCCAATCTTTTATTTATCAAGATTTTCCGATGTAGCCTTGTCACATGAGTCTCTTGTAGGCAAATCAAGTCCAAATGTTCTTTTTTCAATGTATGAAATACTCTCCCCCTTTTTGCCAACGAATTTAGGCCATTAATATTCCAGCTTAAAATTTGTAGTGTCATTTTGTAGTTACTCTCCTTCTCCTCCAACAGCCCCAAGAAGGTTGTCTATATCTGTCGGTGGCGTTGGCTTCCCTTTTTCTTGCAGACCCTTGTCCGGTATCGCAATGTCTTTTCCCAATCCTTTCAGTAGATCTTCTTCGTATGCACTCAGAAACTTGTTCTTTTCCTCCACTGATCTAATCTTGGTCTTTCTTCCTTTGAAGCTAAAGGATAGACCTTGGGGAAATTCCCACCTAAAAAGGATTTTGTTTTTTCTCAACAAGTCCACCAAGTCTCCAAAGTCCTTTCTTAAATCAAGAAGGTGTTTTGGTATATCTTTAAAAATTTCCACTTTTGATTGTATAATTGTCAAGGGTTTTTCGTAGTGTAAACCCAAAATTTTGTCCCTTTCTTCTTTGGATCGAAGAGTGATCAAACAGTCCCTTATTTTGATCTTTCTTCCTCCTTTCCCCAGTCGAAAAGCCCTCACAATCTTAAAATCCTCTTGTTTCAATTCCGATTTCCAAAAGTCCAAAATTCTTGTGTCAAAAAGTCTATCAAGGTACCTTTCTCCAACTCAGGAACAGCTCTGATTCTAAGATTCGTTTGTTTGTCTTTCAGGTCAATCATAGATAACGTTAACTTATGTTCTGCAATCTCTTTCTGCAAGTCTGGTACTTTTTCAGTTTCCAATTGCCCCAATTTAAATTCTACAGCAGCAGTTTTTTCCTGTATAGACTTTGAGTCTTGCAACAGTTTCTGGATAGATTCCGTATTGCTGTTTACTTTTTTCTCCAAATTACCTAATGTTTCTGTGTTTAAGTCAATTTTCCTGTTTGCAATATCCACTTTCTGATTCGTCTCTTCCACCTTCCTATTCGTTTCCCCCACTTTTGTACTTAACTGCTGTATTGATTCATTAATCTTAGTCAGAGCACTGGCTAAAAGTTCCTCAGACATTCCACCAGACTTAGGTTGTATTGCCGATGCGGGCAAACCAGCAGATGATTGCCTTCTATGTGTCCAAGGTTTCCCTGATCTCAAAGTTGACTGGTCCTTATGACCATCAGCCATAACAGAGTGAAGGTCAAATTCCTTTCCCACGTCTGATGTTCCTGTTTATAAGTGGAAAATTCCTTTCCTTTCCTGCAATTGCAGAGAGTCCCACTAGATGGACACTGTTACCACCTAGCAAGTTACTGTCTTTTTGAAATAACAGGGGAAAGATACTAAGTAAGAAAAAGTCAAGAATAGAGGATACAATATAGCTTTCCAGTCCTTTCCAATCTTTTCCCAATAAAATTGGCCACAATGTATCTCCTTTGCAGCCAGCAAACAGCTTTAACAGCTTTGACAGCTTTGACAGCTGAGTGACAGATCACTCATTTAATCCTTCAATTTAAACAGTCCGGTAGAATCAAAAGTCTTTCCCTTAACTCTCCAAAGGGTAGATCCCTCCAAAGTTCTCAGGTCAGAAAGAAACACTTATTTCAGTTCAGTTTTCCCACGTTTAGCTCCAAATCTCTTTGCTTTATTCCTTATACAGTGCAGTGAAGCGGACTTCCTGTTTACGCTTCCACCGCGGTAGCCAATTCAGACGTTTTTAAACGGCTTAAAACTTTTCCGCTTTTTCACAAATAGTCCAATTAATCCAAATAATACTCTCTTATCCAATTCTTCTACTCACGGTTAAATTTTAAGTCCAAATTTTAAGTCCAAATGTCCCAGGAATAAGTCAGCGCTCTCCAGCAACGGCAACACGGCTTCGCTCAGTGAAAGCAGCGATCCGCTCGCAGCACCGCGCTTCTCCCCCGCTCCCTTCCGAAGCCTCAAAAAAGGCTTCCTTTCGGGTTGGGGGGGCGCTCCAAGGTGCCCGCCGAGCCTCCACGTTCGCAGGCGTCCGCGCCTGCGATTTCTAAGGGTCCCCGCTTCGCCGGAGCGCACAGGACCCGATCTCTCACTGGGCTACCCCCTCCGAAGATCAAAGGAGGTCCGCCATTGCTGCTGGCGCTGACCGGAAGTCCCTTTTTTAAAGAAATCTTTCTTCTTCTCCTCCTCCTCCTCCTCCTCCTCCTCTTCTTATTTTGAAGAAGGGCCATAACTCAGTTGCTGAGCATATATTTAAAAGCAGAAGGTCTCCCATTCAGTCCCCTGCATCTTCAGGCAGGGTGGGGCAAAGAGTCCCTGCCTGAAACCCAGCAAAGCCCCTGCCTTTCAGCTGTAGAATTCTAGACAATACTGAGTTATGTAGACCAACCCGTGGTGCCACTCCATTTAAGGCAGTTTCCTATGTTAATAAGTTATTGCCAATGGTATTTTTGTGACTGTAGAGGCCCTTTCTTAGAAAATTGGGGCAGAAGACGTAAATATGTCAACTTTCTTCTGCTTTTGCGACACCAAAGTGGTTGAAAAGTGGAGAGTTGGAAAGTGAGTAAATGTGTTGCTGCACATACAGTTGGATACACATTCCCATACGCAAACATGTCATTGTGCAGATCCCTTCTTTTTTGCTGGTTTTCCTTTGTAATATGTGGTGGAATCAGGGTGAACGGGCATCAATGGGTGGACTCAAGATTCAAACAAGATCAAAGCCAGAATCTGCCAGCAGCGTCTGCTGAGGATGTCCTGCAGACGGAGGATTCTGGGAAGTGTTCTCACAGGCACACATGATTTATGCAGATGGGAAGGACCAGCCGGTCTGTCAGAGGGTCTACCTAACCTGAGCAGATCTCCCAGAATCCTCTCCACCATGCAGTGGTTCTATGGCAGAAAAGCAACAATGGAGTTGCTTGGCGACAGCTCATGCGTCCCCTTGAGCCCAGAAGCTTGAAAGTCGCTGAAGTTGATTGATTCTCCCACCCGCTGTCTTTAATGCAGACACCCCTTGCTCAGCGCCTGAGAATGCAGGAGAGCTCGTTGGCTCAGTTTGCTCTTCAGACCACTGGCTCCCTCCCAGCACTCACCCTTGGACTTCCGACCACTTCTGCAGCGTCTGCCAGGGTATGTCTAGAGGGGCTTTGCCGAGGGGACAAGCATGATAGAAGCTTCTGGAGTCATCTGGGTTGGTTGCAGTGGGAAACAGAAAGCTGAGTTAGATGGTCTGTAGCTCAGCGGTAGAGCATCTGCTTTGCATGCAGAAGGTTCAGTCCCTGGCATCTCCAGGCTGGGGGAGGGGAAACCCTGCCTGAATCCCTGGTGAGCTGCTGCTGGTCAGAGCAGACAAGGCTGAGCTAGATGGACCAATGGTTAAATCAGCTTCCTGTGTTCCTCTCTAGGCCTTGGCCTGATCCAGCAGGGCTCTTCTCCTGTGTACCTGGGACTGTTTCTAGAGTACCAGGCATTGTCAAGGGGCAAGTGATCTGGGGGTGGTATTCTGCTGTGGTTTACTCAGAGTAGACCCACTGAAACCAGTGGGCATGAGTAAGTTAGGCCCATTGATTTCAGCTGAGGGCTGGTCTGGATGCCCCTCAGGCTCTCTTCCAACTCTACAGTTCTCTGAGTAGCAAACTCAGATTCTCTCCTGAAGAAAAGCTTCAGTGACAGTATTTTTATGGGGCAGAATCTCCTTGCTTCCCTCTGCAATCTCCTTTCTGCCCACCCCCTGATCTGAACTAATCCCTCGTACCTCACCTGTTTTGCACCCACCTCATCGCTTTGAGAACTTTGTGACCAGGTTCAGGGCTCAGGAAGGTGCTCTTGATCCACCGTCTCCAATTCTCTCTCTGTAGGGCGATGGAGATCACCGGACACACCCAGGCCTTGCTCACAAGGTGCCTGTCCTGACTAGCACTCATGCGCCCGTTTTCCTGCCAACCAGCTTGGAGCAACATGAGCCTGGGAACCCACTGTCCACTCGGCTGCAGCCTGTTATAATCTTGGAGCCCTCTCTCCCCCATTCTCCTCTTGTGACAGGTGCGTACCAGCCCCTCACATTGGGGCAATAGGGGAGGGAAGGGTCTTGCTTAATAAGATACTGGTGCGTGTTTGCATAGACAAAAGAGAACTGTGTTCAGTATTCCTCAAAGGGTAATTGAAGATGAGCAAGATGCGAGGGAGAAAAAAATAGCACAGCATGATGGGTTTTGTAGTGTTTATAGCAGGTTCTGTAGCAGCAGAGGGATTCTTGGGAGAAGAATGCTCTAGGCTGATAACGTTCATACTGAACAAGCAGGTTATATATATGTTTTTGCACTTGTCAGTTCCTCATTTTGCTGCTTTGATGATCATCACAAATACCACAATAACCATCATGCTATGTCCTTCATTGTCCCCCTTACATCTTGGCCTTCGGACAAGATTGTGCCACAAAACCCTATGTAATTAAATGTCATGCAGAGAGGCAGCTCACACTGCATTATTGCAAGAACATTTGTTTTGATTGCCCCACACGACATCATAGGGGAAGGAGGAAGAAGAGGAACTGTGGTCCCCGCTTAAGTGTTCTCTCTGTTAGTTTCTGTTTGCCACTGAGCAGTGCTTTGGAGTCACAAGACTCTGTTTACATTCCACACATTCCATACTGTTGAAAGTCTCACAGGAGACGGGAGACGGATGTGACGTTACTGGTTTCCTGTTCCTTTGTTTCAGTTGCTCTCTGCTCTCACAGAGAGAGGATGTATTTTTCTTTGCTGTCTGTGTAGTTAGAAATAAAACTCCTAGCATGTAGCTCATACTATCTCATCCTTCCGCATGCTGCTGGAAACTCTGCTGAATGGGGGTTGTGCCTGGAGCTTTATCAGAAGCTCAGGTCGTCAATCACGTCGAGGGCGATTCCGAAGGACTCGGCCAGAGGAGGATGAGCTTTTATCAGCTCAGTCAAACAGAGATCCCGACACTCTCATGCAGCTCCTTCCCTCTGCCCCATACATAGAATGAGGGGAAGAGGAGAACAGCATGGACGGGTTTTCCAGACTAACCTTGCAGCGTCTGAATTCTGCTGCCCCAGCTAGCCACCTGTGCTGTGACAGCTGTGAATGTGCCTCACTTATCGCTGCTCCTCTAGATTTTTTAAGCAGCAGATAGAAGCAGATTTCTGGCATTAAAAAAAAATAAATCTAAGGATTTTGCTCCTTCACAATTTGGAGTAGGTTATCAGAACAGAATTCAGGAATTTGTTCTTGTTTTTTCTTCCATTCTTTTATTATTATTATTGCAGCCTGTGATGAGTGAGGCAGACAAAAGCCCCTTCCAGGGCACTTTGACATTTCTAAGGATTCAGCAGAAACTGTTTGCCTGTTTTCTTGCTGCTGCGTTGTTGTTGTTATTTTAATCTTGTGGGATGAAAACGTGAAAATGGAGGAACTATCACAAAGTGATGCTTAACTTGCTTTGCTGCATTTCCTTCCCGCTTGTGCTGTGAACGCAGAGCCAGCTTTAGCTGAAAATGTACACTGGGTTTTTAACATTTCACTCTCCCACTTTCCCACCTATGGGAACAATACTGACAAGCGATGTATTCCAGATTATATTCTTAGCTTCTCTTCTTTCCTTTGCAGTTCCAGGACTGGGAACGGTCCCTTTCCACTTCAGCCGCTCCCAGCTGCTTCCCCCAGAGCGACTGTCAGTGCCTACGCCCCACAAGCCCTTGGGAAGGACACGCTCGGAGCCTCTGCCGTCCAGCCCCAGAGCTGTCCAGCAACAGCTGGCCTACCAGCAGCACCATGCGCTTTTCCTGGAGAGGCTGAAGCAGCAGACCCAGCTGGGCAAGGCAGGCTCTTCTCTGGTCTCCTCCAGATGGGGAAGGGCCGGGTTCAGTCATGAAGAAGGGCTGGGAATGTGCCCTGCCAGAAACCTGGGAGAATCGCTGCCAGTCATACATATACACATGCACGCATTTGTATGCTGCCTTTCCACAGTTACAACCATGCTCAAGGTGCTAGCATGATTACAAATGTAACAAAAGTAGCCCTAACTAATAAAAGACATCAAAAAGTACACAGTTTCCACATAAATCATAACATCTAAAATAAAGTTACAAACAAAATTATTGTCAATAACCCTCTAACAATCCTCCAGCCCAAGAGTCATCCAGCAGCCACAGCTTCTGCAGCCGGAGTCAGTCTGGGTCCTACCCCCCAAGGCCAGGTGGAAAAAGGCCTGCAAGGCAGGCAGCAGATCTTCCAGGACTCACAGCCATGAGCAGTGTGGACAATGCTGCGCTAGGTGGAGTGCTGGTCCCACTTCATATAAAGCAGCTCTCTGTTGAGGGGGCCACTGACATAAACAACCTCTAGGCAGCATTCCTTGTGTGTTGGTGTGGTAATGCAATGCAGGGAGCATGCTGTAACCCCAGCATCCAAGGTTCTGTTTTTGTCTTGGCTGTGAGTCCTGGAAGACCTGCTCTCTGCCTTGTAGGCTTTTCCCCACCTGACCTGGGAGGAAACGGTCCTGACTGACTCCAGCTACAAAAGCTGAGGCTGCAGAACAAACTCTTGGGCTGGGGGGTTGCTTAGGGGGTTTATTGTGGGGAGGGGTGGTTGCTGTTGATTTTTGTATCTTTACTTTGGATTTTATGATTTATGTGGAAATTGTTCTGTTTGGTTGTGTGCTTGTTGGCGTTTTGTTTATGAGCACTTTTGCTATGTAATTTTTAATATATTGTAAGCCACCTTGAGCATCATTTTAACTTTGGAAAGGCAGCATACAAATAAAATGATTAATTCCCTCGTCTAACAAGCTCTTGAGGAAAGGTGCCTGGCCATTCATCGGTATGCAATGCATTTCAGATACAGGATGCAGAATAGGAAAACACAGCCAAACTGCCTACGTTTGCAGAACCAGTGAAGTTTGTGGGGTTGGTTGTTTTGAGCCTGCGTAGCCCAGATTTACTCGGTCTTCTCTCCCTCCCACCCCAGCGCATGGCCAAGTCCAGCGAGAAACCTCGGCTGCAGCAGATCCCCTCTTCAGAAGACATGGAGGCAGAGGCAGGAGAAGATCCGAGCGACCCGGCCCAGGGCCAGGCAGAGCCTTTGCCAGCAGGGGGAAGCAGCAGCAAAGAGACAGAAAGTCGCTCCCGGTTGGGTCAGCCTCAGGAGGAGCATGTCCTTCAGCAGGTACTGGAAGAGAGCAAAAGGGACACACGGATGGGGGGACACACACAATGCTTTCTGCATTTCAAAATGCTATGTCAGCAATATGCTATGTCCCAATCCTCAGGTTTGGGAAGATCCATTGCTCATTGGCTGAGCATCAGGTTTGCATGCAGAAGGTCCCCCCACCTGCTCAATCCCCAACGTCTCAGCTATAAAGGCTGGGAGAGAACCCTGTCTGAAAGAGATGATGTTGAGCCGCTGCCAACCCGTGTAGACCATGCTGAGCTGGATGGACCAATGGTCCCACTCCGCATAAGTCAGCTCCCTGGGTTATTGCTCCCAGCACCCTAAAGTTTAGTTGAGATTGCTGCATTGCAGGGAGTTGGACTAGATGACCCTCAGGGTCCCTTCCAGCTCTACAATTCTGTGACTCTGGTCCCTTTTAAATGTTCCTGATTTCGCTGTGTAAGTCCATACATACAGGAAACGGCAGTGATCTTTGGCTAATAGTAAAATATTTAGTGGCCTCTCTTTAAGCTTCCTGACTCCAAGGGGTCAGGAATTACCCCTTTTCCCCTGAGGTAATTTTCTGCTTAACACCTTTTTCCTTCCAAATGTTTTCTCAAAGCGCCTAAAGCCCTTCCTGTCTCAAAAACCCAGATTCTTTAGCCCAGTTTGCCAAATGGGATACACCAACATTAGAATGCAACTGCAAAATAAAAACTCCTAATTAGAATTGTGAACACACACACTATCTATGCATATGTATATTGGAAAACACTCTCCAGGGAGGCTTGCCTGGTGCCGTCGTTACAGTGGTACCTCTGGTTGCAAATGGGATCCATTCCAGAGGCCCATTTGCAACATGAGCAGAACGCAACCCGCGCCTGAGCGTGTGCGCGGACCGCAATTCGCCACTTCTGCGCATGCATGCGATGTCATTTTGTGCGTCTGCGCATGCGCGAGCAGCAAAACCCGGAAGTAACCCTTTCTGGTACTTCCGGGTTGCCATGGGACACAACCTGAAAATGCTCAACCTGAAGCAAACATAACATGAGGTATGACTGTATATATCTTTTGGCTCCAGGCAAAAGCTTTCCTCTAAAACCAGGCCCTTGGCCTTAAAC